TGTCAATATTCCTCCATACTGCTCGTCCAATGTATTCCAAGTGTCCTGAGTGGGTAGCATCCATAATTTACTCGAAACGAAGTCATTTAGAATGTTTTTAGAGCCTAAACATTAGTGTATAGGATTTCCTAAAAGCGTGCGCCTGCGAGTTCACGACTCTACGGAAACCGCGGCAGACCAAACCAGATGAAAGTGCGCATTCCGCGTCTGCTCTGCCGATAATGCAAGCATAGAAGAAATGTGCTGTTTACCTGTGCAAAGAAAGAAACAACGTGTTGAGGAAGAGCATGAGTTCTTTGCCGAGCTGAATGCGCACTTTCATCTGGTTTGGTCTGCCGCGGTTTCCGTAGAGTTGTGAACTCGCAGGCACACGCTTTTAGGAAATCCTATACACTAATGTTTAGGCTCTAAAAACATTCTAAATTACTTCGTTTCGAGTAAATTATGGACGCTACCCACTCAGGACACTTGTTCTATTCCTTTAAGCGAAAATCAATCTGAAAGACTCTTTTCAGGTTCACCTGGTCCACCTAGGTCCCTTTTTCAGCTTCAACCAATCAACATCGAGACCCCACCTCCTCCGAAGCCAATCACATTTCAAGATCTCCTTCATTTAAACCCTGCCGTAGCTTCTCTCCCAAATAAAAGCGAATGTTCAGTTGTCAGCCTCAGTTCCTCATTTGTGAGCATCAAGCACTGTTGGCCATTCGTACTGATTTCCTAGCTCTGGCTCGGACTCACCCCGATAGGTTCACGCAAGCCTGTCTCACGCTCACTTCATTCCACCCCGCTCCTGTTCCAGTCGCCTTCCATCCACTTCGACGTCAGCTTCTCCACTGGTTCCTCCACTCTGTACTTGCCAAATGTCATCAGTCTCTTCTCCTCCTCCTTGCTTGTCATCCCTACGGACAAGCTTCACCTCTCCATCGCATCTCTCCACTCATCTGCAGGAATCCACGGCTCCAGGCTCTGGCTAACCTCCACCTCCTCCATCTTCCACTCAAGCCATCATTCGACATGTGGATCGGTCACCCCCATATGCCTTCACCCTGGCAGATGCTAGTTATAATTCTGATGTATTTTTTCCAAGCCTCCTATGCTCCCTTTCAAACTCGTTCCTTGCCTCTGCATTGTCTTCTTCATCAAGAACATTGTACATTCTTAGATCTACTCATTTGTCCCACTGTGTACTTTTAATAATGCGGCTCATCAGCTTCATTAAAAGTGAACTTGTGCAAATGATCCTCATAAACACACTTAGCACACCTGTCCTCTCGGCGCATCATCAGTGCATCAACAGCGCATCTGAAGTGCACCAACAGTGCATCATTGTTGCTTTTCACCACTCAGTGCATCCTTAGCACTTCTCTTCAAGCTGTGATTTCTTTCCTACTTTGGTGCATCTTTAGGGAATTTTCTTCCAACTTAATGGTTTATCAGCACTCTTCCCCCTCAGCG